TTGTAGTTATTATTCTCTACTTGTTCTGTTGTGTCTGGCATTATTCCAACATATAGTGTCAGTGGAAAATATCAGTTTCTAAGTGTTACAAGAACTAGAAATTTAGGCGCCGTTTGATTCTCATTTTTCTCAAAATGCATTTTTCTCTCTTCTTTTCAACCACACATTCTTCATTAAAATAATATTACACGTAAATTAAAAACTTTTTATCCATTACCATTATAAAATTCATTATTCCACAAAAATGAAACACCCTCTTAAAATTTTATTAATATTATTGAGCTTTGACATTAAAGGGTTATATCTTTTGATATCAGATTTGAGGCTCCTTGAGTTGGTTTTAGGCCTCGTTTGGTAGCCATTTTTTTTCAAAATGCTTTTTTCTCTCTCTTCTTTTCAACCACATTCTTTATTAAAATAATATTACATGTAAATTAAAAACTTTTCTTTATTTTTCAACCACACATTTCACATCAATTTACTATTCTAAAATGCATTTTTATATAAAAATGCCGATCAAACGCCCCCTTAATCTCATATTTTCCTTCTTTAGATGGAGATTTATCTATGGTTACATGTGCCTGTATTCAATACTTTGATGAATGTGTGGCATGAATCTTGTATACTATATTCGTTTTTATCTTCTCTCTTTTAAAATGCACTTTTCAGTACTATTTGAAGCTAGCGAGGTCATTGTCCATGTAAAAAAATTACTTCCCTACATTTCTTTTTAAACTAGAAACAGAAGTTTAAGTTCTCCACTGACGCAGAAGTTTAACCAATTTACTTGCACTAATAATCTTACTGATAGCATACAGAGGCATAAGTACATTTTTTTTAATTAAAAATACATCTTAATTACGTTGGTCCTGGAACTTATTTTGGACTAGCTACATTTCTGGTGTTCTGCAGTTGTGGGATTCAGAACTAGTGTGCCGGATCTCATTGCATCCAGCAGTTCATAGAGTTGTGGCATTAGGAACTCTCTGTGCCATTGAACTGGAAGCTGAAGGCAGTAATGTTGGGTAATTATATCTGGACTTTTAACTGTTCTCTTTCATTCTTGTAGAAGTTTTCACAATTCACGTACTTGTAGCATTTGTGACTTTTGTTAGTTTGTTCGATGGAAAATGGAGTAATTTTATCCTCGTGCACCTCTACAACTTCCTCAAAAAACTCCCTTTCAGCTTGATATGTAGTTGTGTTGCTTTCTTTGCTCTGTAGAATTCTCACATCTTGCTCATTTTCTTTTGAGTGTGGAGGAGCGGGCAGGGTTAAAGAATCTTGGGCCTTTTTGGAAGTTAGGGAATCAATGCCATCTAGCAAAAAGTCCTAAACTGTAGCAATAAATTTGCAGGTATGCTTCCATGTATGCAAGTTCTCTTGTGAAGAAGCTACGCGAGGATGGCATCCATATGAGGCCGCTTGGTAATGTCATTTATGTTATGTGCGGGCCTTGCACATCAACTCATGTTTGCCACGGCATTCTGGAGAAAATTTTTGCTAGAATTCAGGAGTTTAGCCAAGTGAATAGCTCAGCAATGTATAGTTGAGCATGTTAATCAGAATTGCTTTTTTCACTATAAAACGTTGATATTTTGACATTTTAAACGTCTTAAATTTGTGTGCCTCCAAAAATTGATGGGTGAGTCAACCAAAATGCAGGGAGGCCTCACTTGCCTTTAAAAGTGAGTTCAATAAATGGGTGTCGGCACGACCTGTCGTCTCTATACGATCATAAACGAGTTGCCTAAGCACTCTCGACAAGACGGGTCAAATCAGCATCCCAGATCAAAATCGGAATCAACACCCAGTTTTGGTGATCAGAATCATATCAGTGGGGTAATCCTCTGCTTTTTTTTCAACATGCAATTTCAAATAATTGTCCAAGCCCATAAGTGTCTATTAGTCTCCAAAACTTAACCCATTGATAAAAAAAAATAACAAAGCCCAAAGTAGCAGGCCTAACCAACAAATCTATAACAATATCAAATACAACCCAACAGTCCATTAACCCAAAATTTCATATAAAATCCAGTCCACGACAAGCCCAAATTTTAACACCTCATTAGATTGCCTTAATCGAACAGTTCATACACAAGCCCACTTAAATACTATTTATCCAATGGAAAAAATTCATAAGAGGATAAGTACCGTCCATTTTAAAATTAAGAACAAATGTTTAGTGTCACGGTGGCACGCAATATCTGTTTAGCAGTAGCATTTTCGTTGGTTCTGCACGAGATTGCAGCAGTGCTCTTTGCTACTTCGCAACGGCGATCTATGTTCTGCGCAGCGCTCCAATGTGTAGTTGCGGATGGAGGTCCTTCGCTGGATCATAAGGATCGTGTCATCAGCGCATAATAGGCAACAGAACCGGTGCTAAAAAAATTGGTGTTGAATTAGGGTAAAATGACGTGGGGTGGATAGAGGTAGGGTTGGTTCATAAACTAATTAAATTTAATAATATATTTATTTAATAATAATATTTTGATTAATAAAATATCTGATTTTTGAAATAGTAAATCTAACATATGATTTATGAAATGAGATCTTTAGAACTAGAGTTCCATGTAATTTTCACTTATCCAATACTCATGATAGTAAAACAATACACGAGCTCATTATCACAAAATACCCAATTAGCCCATCCTATCGTCTTCTCCACGAAACCTATTCTAATCTAACTAGCCACCAAACGCATAGCCACCAAACGTAGCTGCCAACTCTCCACTTCGGCAGCCACCATATCAACCACAGCCGTCCGTCTCAGCCCCACTTGCTATCACCAATCCACTACCACCTCTGCCACTTCAACAACCATCACTAGTTGCTATTGCACCGTTTCCTCTTGACCTACCCATCTGTCACCAAGTTATCCACCATTGCTTCACCTCCAAATAACTGAATTGCCGTTGCTGCAATCATACAATAACCAAAACTAACAATCTATACGACCACTATTTCTAGTCCGCCTCCACCACCTCGGAGATTGTTAAATTCTTGAATGAGAACAATGTATTAAATTCCATAAATGGAGAAGAACAAGATACAATAGAACCGGAATAAGTTCCATGAAAGAAACACTCCATGATAGGAGGAAAATGAAATACATTCCAAAATAGGAGAAAATGCACTCCATAATAGGAAGAAAGGAACGCTCCAAAGGAGGAGGAAAATAAACCTCCATGAAAGGGAGGGATTGGAAGAAGAAATTCCAATAAGCTACAATGCGTACAAGTCTTGTAATTATTGACAAGAAGACTAGCTATCTAACTACTAACATAACTACTAACTAATTAACAGCTGTAGGAAAAATCTGTGGAAGCTGGAGACAGCTGGGAGAATTCGTGTGAGATAAATCTGGTCCGTTCAATCTAGAGTGGAATCTAGTTGAGGTTAATCTGGTGCAATTCTAATACACCCCCCTCAAGATGGACTAGGAAGATCAACTATAGTCCATCTTGAAGATTAAAATGTGAAATATCAACCATGAATATGTAACAGCAACAGCAACAACAACCTTAAGATTTCCAGCAACGTTGAAGATCACTGCATTTATGCTATCAAACTTGTAACCATGCAGTAAAAACTCCACAAGAATGATCAATTGAATTTCACTGCTGGCGTTGCTGCATGTAGTGGACTCTGATGAGAATGCAGAACTTGAAAAAAAAGTGACAAACAACACTCTCATGGCTCTCATTTGGAGGACATTTCTTCAAACACTCTGTGTGCATATTCAAACTCGAAATATTCTCTAATAGACTATATACAAGTTGAATGTGTTGGAAAGGAAAACGTAGGAGACCTGACAAATGTACATGAGAACCTTCTGAAGCAACTTCTAACTTCACATCAGCACCAATAATTTCTGCGCCAATACTTCCAAACAAATCAACACCCTGAGTTGCACAATCTATAACCAAATCTGTAATTACAGCAAGATTTCGAAAGTATCCTACACTCTGATTTAAATCCTCAGCTTGATGATGTTAGAGATTGAAGAAAATGAACAGAAATTTTATTGTTGAGGTTGCTGAACTACCATTACACAGATCGTTGAATATCAATCAAGTGAATTCTTTGATTTTCTTCAGCAAATTGAAGCCGTGAGGACTTGAATGCTTTTCCTCCATCTATTAGAATTTATCTGAGCATATTAGAATTTATTAGAATTGACGCTGATGTTGCTGCCGCCATCAAACACTCTGAAATTATTGATGACTGGAACTGAAATTACACCTTCCAGAATTAGGTAAAATAGAACAAATCATGGATCTGCTCTCATTTGAGCAGAATACAGAAAATCGCAGATCTGCTTTGTTTGAGCAGAACACAGGAAAATAAGATGTTGAATCTCATAAAAACATAGCAACAGGAAGCAATTTTGCTTTGATACCATGTTAAATTCTTGAATGAGAACAATGTATTAAATTCCATAAATGGAGAAGAACAAGATACAATGTAACCGGAATAAGCTCCATGAAAGAAACACTCCATGGTAGGAGGAAAATGAAATACACTCCAAAATAGGAGAAAATGCACTCCATAATAGGAGGAAAGGAACACTCCAAAGAAGGAGGAAAATAAACTTCCATGAAAGGGAGGGATTGGAAGAAGAAATTCCAATAAGTTACAATGCGTACAAGTCTTGTATTTATTGACAAGAAGACTAGCTATCTAACTACTAACATAACTACCAACTAATTAACAGCTGTAGGAAGAATCTGTGGAAGCTGGAGACAGCTGGGAGAATCCGTGTGAGATAAATCTGGTCCATTCAATCTAGAGTGGAATCTGGTTGAGGTTAATCTGGTGCAATTCTAATAGAGATCTATCGCAAATTCATAATGTCGGCCTCTACTATCATCGCTAGCCACTGATGTCTGAAAGAACATGGCTTTGAACGCAGAGGCCAAAGTCTAGCGACCCTTCTTCTTCCTTCTTCTGCCACTTTCATCTTCAGAAGAAGACATCACCAACTTAATCGGCCTGTGAACTGTGGCGACTTTGTCGACAGACGGTGGTCTAAAACACAAAACAAACATACTCGGACTCCTCCCACGGTGGTTCTTCATCATCATCTGTATCTAAAAAAAAAGCCCATAAGAAGTTTCGACACACGCAGAAAGATAGATACAAAATATTGAAGAGAGGATCTATTCTATGTTGTATATAGTTGGCGAATATTTGGAGGGTGTCTGAGAAAACTAAGGAATGGGTTTCTTCAAAAAACATTTGGCCTACCCGTTGAAAATGAAGTTCAAGGGTTAATTTGTTTACGTTCGTAACTACTTTGATATCATGTCAAATACACTTAATAATATGCAATAAGACTCGCTGCTTCTTAATATGAAATATTCTCTTATTTAATAAAACCAAAATCAAATTAAATATAGTGAAAGCAATTTATCTATATATGATACAATTATAATAGTAATATAAACATCAACTATAATTTTCGATGATCTCCGTAATCTTATTCAATTTCATTGACATTATCTTGATTAGAGTTGAGTTACTTGGACATGTTTTAAGGGAGCAAACTACATTTGGCAAACCTAAATTCTTAAAACTTCAGTTACTTAATTTAGCCAATAAATGAGTGCAAGAGTTAACTGCGTTAAACAGTCTCTGAATGTGTCATAGGATGAGACACTGCTCTAAAATTTTAAGCAATATTTCGGTAAAGATTTTGTTATTATTATTATTTTTGAAACTCATTTAACCAAACATTTTGTCAATAAAATAATTTTGCATGCCAACTCATAATTTTTTTTATACTATTTTACTATAGATTCTCTAAAAATATCACTTTTTAAGTTCAAGAAATATACATCAAATAAACTTGATGCTTAAGGATTCTAGCTAGTAAAATAATTTATTCTATTATGATGATATATATATTATGTTAAGTTTAAAAACTAAATATTATTTCCCTAAAAAATGAAATACATATAAAATAGCAAATATAAAAATCCACAACGGATCTGTCCTTCAAGTTGCACGTCGTTTTTTACCACATCGTTTTAAACAAAATTTTAACATATTAATTCGAATCTATATAAAATATAATATCATCATACTAAAAGTGCAATGAAGTTGATCTTGAAACAACTTCAAACATCAAATTATATTTACTTTTATTTTGTATAATATTTTTGATAAAATTTGTTCATTTTCACTTATTCTCTTATCAAGGTATATAAGATCACTATGTAAAAGGAGGGGGGAAAAATACCCTCTTTAAATTCAAAATAATTTCATTATCTAAATAAACCAATAAGAAAGACAAGTATATTAATTTAATTTTAACACAAAGGCAAGAGGGCAGAATGAGATTTCTGCCATTTTTAAATGACGGGAAAACTTTGTACAATTTGTTAAGATTTGGGGTCTATCTTAATAAGGTCAACCTTATTAAGAGGAGTAACTCAAGATCTTTTTAAGTTGGTCAATATTTCGATATTTAACATATGTGAGATTTTTATCCCTTAACATGTTCTCGTAAGATGGTGCCTCGTTTGAGCAGACTAATCTTAAAATTCGTGTGCTCATTTTTAGAGTCTTAACCGGATTGAATTGCTCGTTAGAGTTGAATGAACTCTGATACCATGTTAAGACTTGGGGTCCATCTTAATAAAATCAACCTTATTAAGTGTAGAAGTCTAAGATCTTTACAAATTGATATTTATTTCGATATTAAATCGATGTGGGATAATACATCCCTTAACAGGTCTCCTCAAGATGATGGCTCATTTGAGCAGACCAATCTTGAAATCCACGGGGTGGCTCTGATACCATGTTAAGACTTGGGGTCCATCTTAATAAGATCAACC